ACAAATATTGGTAGGTGATCACTAATATCATTTATGAGTAGTCCACTTGTCATTTTACTATCCATAACATTGGTAAATATATTATCTATTAGTGTTGCATGCTGAGTTGTTACTCTACTTGGTTTTGTAATTTTTGGATATAGACTACATCTGTATATTGTGTTAATAAACTCCTCAGTTCCTGTGTGCTTGTTTGGATTTAACAAATCTATATTGAAGTCACCGCATATGAACATTGATTTATGACTTAGTGTCTGGTAATTTTCTTCCATCCACTCATTAAACTGGTCTATGCTGGCACCAGGTGCTCTGTAGATACAGCTTATTACAACATTTTTCTTTTTTTCTAGTAGTAGTTCAACCGTCACACACTCCAGCAAGTTGTCGATCGCCCTTGACATATTTTCCAGTTTTTTGTAACAAAGGTTGTTGTCTATAAACAAGGCCACTCCACCTCCCGTCTTGTTTTCTCTATTTGTGCAGACTAAATCATAACCAGCCAAGTGAAGGTCGGTTCCTCTTACATTATTAAACCAAGTTTCTGAACAAGCAATTATATCAAACGAGTGTGTAAGACTACTGAGATACTGTTTTATACTCTGAAAGTTTGCATATAAACTTCTGCTATTAAAATGAATTAATGATAAATTGTTTTCAGTCTTAACATTGCTGTTAAACTGCTCATCCGAATAATACTTGCAGTTATTTTCATAGTTCACAAAAAAGTTTATTTCTGGGTCAAAATCTTCGTCCGGTTCATGATGTTGAGTTTCAGAGTTTCCAGATGTGTTCAGCTCCAAATCCAATTCGTCGAAAACTTTTAACTTATGAGACAAATCACTTGCCTCGTTCAATACATGTGTCATGCTTGGTGTTGTAACTGAAACTATATGTTAATGGGAAATATACCACAAAGATGAATTACAACCGTTGATCCACAACCTAAATGGGTAAATATGGTTCATTCTGCAAACAGTGGAATATGGGTGATTTGTAGCATGTTCCTTCTTATAGACCTGAAACTTCTTGTTAGCAACTTGATAAATCCACAACAAGTAGAGCTTAATGCAGAGGCCTATTTTGGGTGACTGATCTCTTTAATATTATTGATGATAATTAGCTATTTTTATTACCGGGTTCTGCTAGCACCGAGATTCGAACCTTCAACCTTTTGGTTGGGAGACAACTGCTCTACCCACTGCACCACTGTTGCCTCCATAATCGTCCACCTCACAGGTGTGGCATATCAAGATGCTGATTAGACAGCAACCTCTAACAACAACATGATCAGCAGTCTTCATGAAAGCAGAAATCAGTAACAATGACTATCTCATTTTACAGACTAAATGTAAAGGAATTGATTGGTTTCTGATCGGAGAA